AGTGGCTTCTGGCATGGAAAACTCTACTTTTAAATGGAAGGTTTAAAATTTTTTTAAAACCTATGGACAGTCACTATTATTTTGGGGGTTTTTGGTTGTTATGTTGTCGGGTTTTTTCCTTTCTCAAGAAAAAAGAACTGATTGCTGATGGGATCCTAGTTCTCATGTAGGACAGATATCTTCCTCATAATACTGTTAGTGTAGCTGTTGATAAAACACTATGCATAGTCTCATTTCAGAAATTATTGGGTAAGAGACTTTTAGGACAAAAAGTACAAATCCAAATAGCTGATCATCATAATAGTTTTTGCTTTCAAATACAAGATACTGTCTTAAAACACTCAGAAACAAACTTTAAACAGTTTAACAAAATTCTGATAGAATAATGCTTATCACAACCCTTCATGGTACTTCTGAAGTCAAAGCTAAGCCTGCATCTCAGAATAGTGTAAAAGTTCCCTTATATTGATTTTACAGGGGCCCATCGGTGATAATGGTCTTAACAAAGGAAAATGCTGTGGAAGAGTGGAGGAATCTAATGGGTCCAGTTGATCCAGAAGTGGCAAAAGAGACCTCCCCTGAATCAATTCGAGCTCATTTTGCAGAAGATATTTTGTCTAATGCTGTTCATGGATCATCAACTAAGGAACATGCACAGAAAAGCATTGAGTGTGTGTTTGGAGAGCTCGATCTAGACTGAGTGATTAAGATGCAGTCTCCAAAAATTGATATTCAGGTCATTAAATGCATTTTTCTGCCCAACCACCTATATTTAAGTCTATGTTTTATGTTCTCCTTCATAGCCCGTCCATTCTTTTATCAGCCAAATTTTTATTATCAGCATTGTATATTGTAAAGCCTATCAATGTAATCATAATACCTGCTAGAAGCTTGATTTTAGTAATGATTCCTTTATGTATGGTTAGTAAATAGTTTTGCTTTTATCACTTTAACAGATTTATGCCTTTCTATAGTTCCCGGAGTGTTCTAAGGTATTTTGTATGTAACTACCTTAAAAAAACAAGGTCAAAGAAGATCATTAAAACACAATTAAGGACTTGTCCACTGTGATGTGGATTGAGTCCTTCATTTCAGGCAGCCTACGAAGGAGAAATGGTGAAAGGTAGTCAAGGCACTGCTACAACATTGGCAGGGAGCAGCAGCAAGTGTGGGAGCACTCCACAGGGGAGAAGGAGCCAGAAGCCAAGCATGACCACAGCACAGGCCGTGGGGATCAGCCCCACAGCATCTGAGCAGAGCTGGGTAGCCACATCCATCAGCAATCCCAGATAAAGCAAATGATGAACCAGGTCCAGGACCCATTCAAAGGTCCAGTCAGGAACAACAGGCCAGAGAGCCAGAGACAAATATTCCTGCAACACAGCTCAGGCAGTGATTAAGCAGAGTGTGAGCTTAAATGTGGCTCCTGGGCCCCTTGGCCAGTGGTAAAGGTGTGCATCCCAGGACAGACTGCTCAGGGCTATTAAGACTATTGGTTCCCTCAGGGCCCTGAAAAACACTTGTGATGTTTACTTATCCTTTCCCTAAACATCTTCTAACGATTACTGTCACATGTAGGGTAATAAACTAGAAGGTCCTTTCCATTTATGCAATTCAAATATATCAGATGAAGTAAAATATAAAGTCAGTTCTTACTTAACAGCTATTTCTGACATACATCTCCTTGCCAAACTAGTGAATTTCTATCCTGCCTCAGTCTAACTTGGCTGGCCTTCATAAAGAACACAAATACTCTTCTGTAGCTGATAATTCTCACTTTTGCTGTCTGAGCCTGTTGAAGGTTGAGATACTAAAGAATGGCATTCAACTAAAGCAATTTACTTACAGCATTGATTCTAAGTGCAATGTCCAGCAAGAACAAAGTCTTTCTCACACTTTCTTTATGGTCCCTATTGTATTTAATACAACTAGCAGTTTTAAAGAGCTTCCTGACAAATATTTCTGTTGTGATGGGGCATTTGTTATTATAGACATTCCTCCAGAGAAGTTGGACTGAGCATTCTCCTGGTGGCCCATTTTCACCTACAGCTGCTTTACTGCCATAAACTCAACTTGAGGCTTGAGGAAGTTGTGATTAGTGCAGAATTTATGTGTCACCTCGGTGAGGTGAGTTCTTAGAAGCATACTTCAGAATTCCTGTATGTTCTTTGGCTTGTTTTTTTTACTTAGAACTGTTCTTCCTGGCATTATTTCAGCACTCTGGGTCTTTTGGGTGCTGGCACGTTGTACTTTAAACCAAGAAGCAGTCTTAGAGAAGGCCTGAATAGAGTGATTTCAGATACATCAGTAACTAAGGTGTAATACAAAACTACCACCAGTAATAATGATCAGGGAAATAACAAGGGGAGAGGACACAACCGCTCACCACCCGCCGACCGATACCCAGCCCGACCCGAGCAGCGATCTGGGCCTTCCGGGTGACTCCCCCCAGTTTCTATCCTGGGCATGACATGCTGTGGTATGGAATACCCCTTTGGCCAGTTTGGGTCAGGTGTCCTGCCTCTGCTTCCTCCCGGCTTCCCCTCCTCTCTGGCAGAGCATGAGACTGAGAAAGTCCTTGGTCAGAGTAAACATCACTGAGCAACAACGAAAACCATCGGTGTTATCAGCGTTGTTCCCAGGCTAAAAGTCAAAAACACATCACTGCCCCAGCTACTGAGAAGGAGAAAAATGACTGCTGGAGCTGAACCCAGGACAAAGGGTTACATGGGGTTATTTTTTGACAGGAACAGAAATGCTGAAAACAGCAAAATGTGTTTATGTCTCATTAAGAGTTCATGAAGTTCACGATCAAACAGCTTGCTAGGTATCACACACAGGTTTTGAATGCTGTGGATCATTTATTGCACTGGTTTTAGAAATACCAGTTAGTTAAAGAATACAGTAGCTATGCCTGTTTAAGTGGGATATAACTTTATATATTGACCTATTGCTTAATTAACCATCATTCTTCATCCTCCATGATGATATATTCATATATATTCATGTGTATCAGTTATGATCCCTGTTTCATGCTTGGTTAAAATGATCCAGTAGATTAGATTAGATTCAAATATTATGCATAGAGCTACGACAGTTTTTCTTCATGTTGCATAAGTATCCAAACCCAAACAGAAATTGGGAATATTTAATTTAATATTTTCTTATTAAATTATTTTCTTATAATAATACTTTCTTCTCCTAAATATTTTTTTGATTTTAATGTCTTTTAACAGTTTTGGAATGATGGAATTTAAAAGATACATTTCAAACCAATAAAAATAACTGCTTCAGTCAGATAACAAAGAGTTTCATGTTCACAAAGGTTTTACATCTTTGAGATACAGACTTCTGTAGAATTATCCAAATAGCAAGCATTCAAAAGCATGGTCATTTAAATACTGTCAATACATAAAGAGACTACTTTGTCCCTTTAAAAGTTGAACTCAGCACTTGGGTATTGTGCACAGAATTTAGACTGCTATCCACTCTTCTTTACCTTTAATATTACTGTGGCATAGACAGGGTGTAATTTTTGTGAACTGGAGCACTTGTGATGGGATCAGCAAACATCTGCATCTACAGGCAGGAGGAAGGTGTTCCATTGAGCCTCACAGATTCAGATCTTCTTGCAATTAAATTTACACAACTCCTCTACTTACAAATCTTAGAGAATGTCTGATTCTGTCCTTTTATCTCTAGTGTAAATGCCAGATTTAAAAAGAATGTGCCCTTCACAACCGTTTATTTAGCAAATAGCTCATGGTTCACCACAGAATTAGGCGGTGCAGAGATGTGATGAAAATTCTTCCAACACTAACAAAAGATAACATAATTATTCTGATTTTTGTCCCAGCAGCAGAGAAATGGAACCACAGGGCGTGTTTATTTGTACAACAGGCCACATATTTCCTTGTTTAGGAAATTTAATGAAATCATAGTCTGACACTGAGACTGTATCAGAGATCTGTTTCAGTTTAGAATGATAACCACTTAGAATGATGCTGCTGGCCCCATGGGACCCTGTGCGTGTGTGTCCCCTCCCTATGTGGCAGCGGGGGGCTGAGCCATGGGGCTGGGAGAGCTGCCCCCCCAACCCCCTCATCCCCACATCCATAAGCAGAGCCCATCTCTCCTGAACCAGCCCATACATACCCCTTAGGTTGTGGCTGTGTGCTGCTGCACTGGCTTTGCTCTGCTCTGGCTGGTGAACGAGCTACACTGGCAAGTCAGACCCTGCAAGTATCTATTCACTTTGTCCACAGTTCTTTGTGAGCAAATGATTACCTTCCTGATTACCTTCCTCAGAGGGTACGTGCTCTGAGTATCTACAAACTAAAGTTTTCATCATACTGTAACCAGAAGGAATCAGAATACTCAGGGTGTTGGTGTGTTTGGGGCATCTCTTGATCGCTCTGGTGCATCCATTAACCTGCCATCTGTAACACAGACTGTCTGGCGCATTTACAGCACTTTTGGTTTTGATTAGTAATCTTATCTAAAGAAAAGGAGTGTGTCCTCCCTCCATTCCAGATGTTTTCCTTTATGCTTTTTGCCATCCTGCCTTATCCACAAGCCTTTTACCAGCAACAGGAGGAGCCAGTCCGATATTAATATAATCTCATTACCTGGAAGCCCCTGAAGCATGTTCAGACAAGCAAGTTCAAAATCCTGCATCACCTTCCAATAAGGCTGCTGTTTAATTTCAGAGATATTACAGGAAATATAGTGTCAGCATTTGAAATGAATGTAGTTTATCCACAGAGCTTTGACGAGGTCTAATTAGAAGCAATGTACCTCTATAGAAATTAATAACCTGCCCATTATTGGTTTTTTTACTATGAATGGAAGCAAAATTCTGAATGTTCAGTATTGGTGGATTTATATTTGTTTCTAAAATTAATTGGGGCTGATGTGGTTTACCAGAAAAATCTGGTTGAGGAAATGTTTTCAGATGTGCATTTACATTCAACTGTTAAGTGCAACCAAAAAGCATGTGTCGGTTGTGCATAATTGGAGTAAGTATTTTTTCAGGCTTCGTTCATTTGGCATTTAGGTTCCAATGCTGGATAAAATAATTTAAGAGCTGTTTGAGTATTTTGGACTGGAAAATCTTTATTTGTACAGGAAGCGTTCCTCAGTTATATGCAATGGCTGGACAAAAGTTGCAACACTGAATTGAAGTGACCGGGTCATTTGGGTCTTGTTGGAGGGGAAGTTATGGGGTTTTATTTAAATGTGGTTCATAAAAGAGTTGTGATTTGCATTCACAGTGAGCTAAACCGGTGCCAATTATTCACACTTTGAGTAAATATTTTTCCAGGTTTCATTCGTTTGGAACTGAGGTTAGAACATTCAGTGAAAATAATCAATGGTGTTTCTTCCTAAACCAGGCACCATGTGTGGGGGAGGTAGTAAGAAACGCACTAGAAGCCTGTGTTGGGTGTTGCAGGCAGTTTTTATGGTATATGCAAGAAATGCCAAGCCCCTCGGTAGGAAAGCAGCTGCAACACTGAGAAAAAACATCTGACACTTCGAGTTGGGGCCTGTTAATTTCTCAGCTGTAAATAGGTGCAGTAATTACTTCCAACCATCAGCAAACCATTTGCCCACTCTGCTAAACGGAGCTTCCATGACTCCGGTGGTGGGATGCACCGACGCAGCAATGACTACATCTGGCCATGGATGCACAAGGAGAGC